CAGATTTTAGGATCTCCGAGATTTCCCGTGCTCCTGGCAGGAAAAGTTACAAAGAAAGACTATCCCACCAGCTAGCTTTGGGAGAGGGTCTACGGAGGGAGCCTAAACCAAGTCGGGCGCCAAAATGTTATTCTTTTGTTTAAAAAGAAGAAAAGAGAAATATTGAGACAGACATATTGACTATAAGTTTATTATAAGGCCCGGTAGAATGGGGAGACTAAGAAGAGGAACAGGGGTAAATGGCTGACCGCCATGGCCGGTCGCCATAGAGAGACAGAGCGGGGAAACAGAGAGAGGGGACAGAGAGCAGGAACAGGGGGAGAGAGAGAGAGAGGGCAGGGGCCTATCTTTTAAAGGGGTCCTCTGCACCTGCGTACAGACTTCTTTCCCATGGAACCTTGGGCTGACCAGGGTATTGCCTGAGTGGATTCCACCAGGTAACAGGGGCAGGCCAGCATAATGCCTGAACCTTTCAGAAAGCATCTTAAATGTCTTTATTTTATATACAGGGATGGGAGCATGCACCCCAGGCACACATGTCAGGGACAGAGGAGAACATGCAGGGGGATCAGTTCTCTTCCCCCACCGTGTGGGATCCTGTTAACATCCTTTGGCATTGGTAGCAAGTGCCTTTACGCTCAAAACAATCTCAAACCTTTTCAGAAGTTTTTCACAGCTCCTTAAATTTACAAAAGCAGACATGGAACATTGCAAGCGTCTGTAAGAAACTTCTAGATGTGTTCCTTTGTAGTAGGAAACAGTCTAATTTGAAACTCTCTGATATGTTAAACACAGGGGGCCAAAGTCACCGAGATTCAATGAAAAACAAATCTGAGTGTTTTTCAACAACTCTAGAATACACAGGCCCGTGGGAGTTATCAGCAAAGCATTATCTGAGAGGGGCTTTGTAGATAGGAGGGAAACAGATAGTGAGATGTTGACGCCAAACACAAGCTTTAACAGTTAGCTTTACTAAAGCCATTTATTCCCAGCAATTCTCAGTGGGGTTGATCACACGTCTAATAATGTCTGTGAATCTGTGTTTCGGAGCAAGTTTTAAAAGGGAGAAAAACCATTCAGCGTAGGCATCCTAACACACATGCTTAGAGAGAGGCAGTAATGGATTGATGGCCTCACTTAAAAATTTTGAGAAGAGGATATTTTGATTCAGATACAACCAGGTTCTCCTAAGGTAGTAATCTTCCATAATTGCATCATCCGCACTGTAATGGTATGGAAATTGCAGATTGAATACAGCCTTATATTTCTGTATTTGATGAATATATTGCTGTAAAGCTCTACATAAATCACATTTAAAAATCAATGGGATCATTTTAGAGATATTAGAGAATCTCTCTGTGTGAAGGAACCCATTTGGCGAAGACTTTCAAGGACTGGCATGTCACTGCCTAGTGTATAGCATTTGAATATGTATTTTCCCAAACTCCTTTTATTGGAGTTCATCATTCACATATCCTGGTTTGGCTTTGCCACATGACCAATGAAGAATCCTGCAAAAAACAGATTGTAAAAGGGAAGCAGGATGTGGTTGGATATGGTCGTGCATGCCTGTCACCCTAGTAATGGGGAGCTGAAGCACTAGGATTGTGGGTTTGAGGAAAGCCTAGGTTATCTAGAGAGAATCCCTCCTCAAAACAAACAAACAAACAAACAAAACAAAGAAGAGGAAGACAAAGGCCAGGAGGAGGAGAAGGAGGGTGGCCACCATCACTTAAGTATAGATATGAAAAAATTTACCTGACTGGGTTTTGGTAGCCAAGGTTACGTGGAAGTACTTTACAAACGCCCCCATCTCTGGGGATCCACACTGTAACTGTACACGGCTCAGTTCCCACCCCTAGACCCAAGCATTTCATAGCTGTTTGCCCTGAGTTTCCTTTTTTATCTCCAAGGAAAATATGCTCATTCTGTCATTTATTGACTTTTGTGTTTTAGATATTATGTATTGATATTCCTTAAAACTAGGCTTTCTCATCACCTCAAATTAATGAGATCCTGCCTTTCACTGCCCATGGCTGGAGGGTTTCACAGATTCTGTACGGATCAGTAAGTTCTTTCATAATGTTTGTTACATAAGCACCATGAGATACTAAGTTCAGGTTCAAGGGCTGGAGAGATGGATCCGGGGCAAGAGCACTTGTTGTATAAACACCAAGATCCAAGTTTGGATCCACAGAATCCAGGTAAAGTGTCAGAGGCATTAGCATATGCACCTGCATCCCTCAAAACATGGGAATAAGGGCAGGAGGTTCAGGGAGAGATCCTGACTCAAAGGAATATGCTGGAGAGTGATAAAATGGGATACCCATCCTTCTCCCCAGGCCTCCGTGTGTTCAGAGACATGTTGACCTTTACACATACATTTACACATGCTGTATACATATACCACATACACACACTAAAAACTTAAAATTGAGTTTCATCCATATCTTTATCTTGAAGCTAAAGATAGCAAAAGCAAGAAGAGAGATCTGGAGCAGCTCCTGGTACAATGGTATTGAGGGAGTTTCCTGTGTTAGAGTAATAGTTGGGGTAAAAGATCCAATTACATGAAAAGCTGTAACCAGGAGTGTGGTGGTCGCAAAGCAATCCTGGCTATTTCCTATGAAGAGACACATAGGAACTCCTTAAGGAAGACCAGCCTAGGGTCATTGTTCCTCAGGCCTATGATGACTGGGGTGAGGCCTGGTGGCAGGGCATCATGGAGGAAGTCTGTGTGGAGAGGCAGAGGTGGTTACAGATCTAATGGCTTTGGCTTCGTTTCTTTGGAGACAGAGCCTTGATGTGTAGCCCAAGCTAGCCTTGGGTTTGTGGCACTCTTGCTTCAGTGTCTGAAGAGCTGGGATTGCAGCAGTGTGCACACATACCTGGCTTCTGCATGCTTCCTAGCGAGCTGTTCCTCTGAGGCCCTGCTTTCCTCCCTTTCCGGGGTTTGCATTGTCCCTACATCCTGGTCCTTTAGTAGCCTGTGGCATGAGATCTCTTCCCACTGTGGGTACACTTCTTTCTGTATGATAATTTCATGGTTTCCAAAATGTAAAGTTTCGGGTTGTTTTGAGACAGGGACTCTCTACATAGCCTTAGTTGGCCTGTGACTCACTATGTAGACTAGGCTAGCCTTGAGTTAATAGAGATCTACCTGCCTCTACCTCCAAAGAACCCAAGATTAAACATGTATGCCCCAACAGCCAGCTGAAGTTTCATTTTCTCTCTTCCTTTTCTGCCTTAAAAATTCTCTACTGCTCTTATTGTCAGTGGATTCTCAGTCACGGAGATGGTAAATATATTAAGATAATAGGTTTTAAGATAATATTGGCATTGATTTAGAATAGTCAGTCGGAGTCTCAAATTTTAGTCTAAAATAAAGGTGTACAAGTCAGAGGAGATGTCACAGTTGACCAAGTGCTTGCTACTCAGCATGAGGACTAAGTTTGTCCCCAAAACCCACACTAAAAAAGCCAGCATGATGGCGCTTGCAATCTCAGCACTGGGAGGAGACTGGAGGATCCCTGGAACTCACTGAGCAGCCAGAGCAGCTTATTCAGTGAGCTGGGTGCCAGTGGGAGACTGTCTAACAAAGATGGAAATGGTGCCCGAAAAATTACATTCAAGGTTGTCCTTCTGTTTGTGTGTACATGAAAGTGTATGCCCATACCACACACACACACACACACACACACACACACACACACACACACACACACACACACACACGAGTAAATAGAATGTGTACAGATGCAACCAATCTGTAGGTTAAAAATTCAAGTTAGTCCTGTGAGGAAGTGAGAGCATTCGCCTCTTTTCACTTTCCTCACTCTCTTTCTGAGCTAGATGAAGCTGTTTTGCCTTTATGAAGTAGGAAGGGAAGGGAAGGCTATGTCCTTTGGCCCCCAAGGGCCCCAGGTTCCTGCCAGTGTCTTTTACGGATGTTTAAAAGCACAGGGAAATACTACAGCCCATTCTTGACATTATGTGCCTTTAGGTACCTGGAGCTGAAAACATAAAGGTTAATTAAGAGATGACTCCAGGGCTACTTTATTTGTTAATTGTGCCTTAAAATTCTGATTTTGAGCTGTGATGGCCAAGTGGTTAAGAGTTTGGCCTTGAAAAAAATCTGATTTTTATCCCCAACTCCTGTAGATAACAGCCCACTCCAAGAACCCAAATGCTGATTTATTGTCATTATTCTGATATGGGATCAGGGGAAAGTTGAGTCTTGTCATCTGTGTGGCCTTGGACTCAAATCCTAATGAGGCCATTGTGGACAACATACAGTTTTATTCTCCCTGACCTTCAGTGTTTTTCCTCTGGAGTGGTTACATTTATAGCTATCTAATGGGTTTTATTTTGAAAGTTAATATTAGGCAATATTTTAAGCACTAAGAAAAGTGCTGTGTGCACAGTAGATACTTAGAAGATTAATCTCCTTCTTGGGCCCACAGCTGAAATCTCAGTTATTATTTTTCATGAATCAGGGGTCCTTTTGCTTTTCCCTTGTTGTAAGCCTCGGAGTGTCTACTTGGAGTTGCTCGGCACTTACCTTATTTCTGTTCTCTCTCTCTCCTTCCTCCTTTCCCTGTCTCCTTACTGTCTTCTGGGTGTTTATTTATTTGGTATTTATATTTGTGTGTGTGTGCGTGCATGTGGACATGTGTGCCTATATGCACCAAAGTGGAGGTCAGAAGTTGATGTCCTGTCTTCCACTATAACTCTTCACCTTATGTTTTGAGACAAGGTTTCTAATATAATCTGTAGCTTGGCAATTTGGCTAAACTGGTTGGCCAGCAAGCACTAAGACCTGTCTTTGCCTTCCTTCCCAGCACTGGTATATGGACACTTGCCACAGTGCTCAGCTTTGATATGCATGGTGGGGATCTGAACTCTGTCTGCCTTATTAGATGGGTCCTCACTATGTGGCCCAGCCCGACATGGAACTCGTGGTTCTCTTGCCTTAGCCTCTCAAACACCGGGGTTACTGGTGTGTGCCAGGCCTCTTCCCCAGCAGATGATAAAATAACCCTTTTTTGATTTCTTTGTGAGGGTCACAGGAGATGGCTCAGAGGGTAAAATGCTTACTGCTCAGATCTGGAGATCTCAAGTCCATCCATGGAACCCACACCAAGGTGTAAGGGGAGAACTGACTATACAGACTTGGTCTCTGACCTCTACAACTTCACTGTGGCATGCCCTCACACACACACACACACACACACACACACACACACACACACACACACACCACAAATACACTAATAATAAATAACATAATACCTACTCACCACATTCACACTAATAATGACTAACAATAAAATTCATGGCATATGGGCAAAGCACAAAGGAGATCCTTTTTTCATACCCATTGTCAAATTCTCCCCAGTGAGAATGTCTGTTTGGAGGCCCACCCCTTATCTAGTAGGAATCTTTTACACCAGGGCTTGCCTCTAGAAGCTCCACAGAGAGAACTGGCTGAGCTCATTCTTTTAGGGCAGTCTTCCGGCCTGGCTCATTGTGTTTGGGGCTTCACTTCAGTGACGTGTTCCTTCTCAAACCCCCTGATGATGAATCGTCATGCAGGCGATAGTAATTTTTTTAAAAAAATTCCATTTATTTTCCTAGTTTAAACTGCTGTTAGGCTGGTACCACAGACAAAGTGGTCACCGTGCCCGTCTGCCATGCTATTTTGGTCCTGCCTCCTTTTGAAGTATTTTCAGTAACACCATGGTTTGTCAAATTTTACTTTCTGTAGGGTCAAGTGACTGTTAAGCATGGGAAGAGAAGGAGAGGGGAGAATTTAATATGACAGCCAGGGTGTTTCAAAAGAAGTCCAGGTCTTTGTGAAAAACAAAAGCCTGGAGCCCTGTGGTGAAACCGCAAACAGCAGAACCACACAGGCTTCTTGCTTGCTTGGGATGTGATGAATGAAAATGTGTTTGTACTTGAAAATGGGGGAATTTGGAATGGTTGTATTTCAGCTTGAGAATGTGCTTGATGGTATGTGTGAATTTTTTCATGTGTGTGTGTTTTTTCTTTCCTTTTTGTCTTTGATGCCCAGCTGGTGTTTTGAGACAAGGGTCTGATCAAGGACTTGGATTCTAACAACAGTACAGTATCCCTCTCGCGTAGTCCTTACCCCACCCTCCATCCCAAGCGGAATGGACGCCATAATCTTGTTCCTCTCTGGGTGAAGAGCAAAGCTGGGCCCCTGAAGCCCCATTTTGTGATATTGTATGGTAATGGGAGTCAACATTCAATCCTCTATTTGCTCCATGCTCCTTATTTTTATTCTCAAGTTTTAATAGACAAGCGCCTCTGAAATCAGCTTTTCCCCCACCCCATGTATTTATTTTAGGGAATGGCCATTTTCTCTTTTATGTGCGTGAGTTAAATTTACAGATTAAAGTGCTTCTGTTTTGATATGCCTAGTGGTGAGCAATTAGTACTTCAGACACAAGGCTGTGGCTTCGCTGTCTGTTTATGGAAGTTGTTGAAAGTGGAATTTACATATTCCCTTCCTCTCCTTCCCCTCAAAACAGGACAATAGGAAGCTCCTTCACTACTCTGTAGGATCCATCTGGTCTTGGTGCCTGCACTAAAAGGCATCTCTTCTTTGTCGCCTGATTTGTGCCCCCAGGAGGAACTCTTCTCTCACTGAGGGCTCCTTTGCTATGTGCACCAGATGGAGCTGGTCTAGATAGTTTATATGTGTGTGTGTGTGTGTGTGTGTGTGTGTGTGTGTGTGTGTGTATGCCTCAGAGGCCAGGGGGGAGGATATTGGATGTCAAGCTCTATCACTTGAGTTACTCCCTTGAGACAGAGTCTCTCATGGAACCTGGAGCCCTTTCAGCACTTCCAGGTCATAGTTCATCACTGAGGGATGTGAGGTCAACAACTCAAGCAGGGAAAGAACGTGTGGCAGAAACCATGGAGGATGCTGCTTGCTGGCTCACCCCATGGCTTGCTTAGAGAGAGACCAAGGCCGCCTGCCTGGGGAATGGTTCTGCCCACAGTGGACTGGGCGCTCCTACACCCATTAATGATTAAGACAGCTCCCTATAGACACACCAACAGGCCAATCTAGCCAATTCCTCAGCTGAGGCTTTACTCTCAGATGGACTCTAGGGCAATGGTTCTCAATCTTCCTAATGCTGTGATCCCTTAATACAGGTCCTCATGTTGTGCTAACCCCCAAATGTAAGATTATTTCCATTGCTACTTCATAACTGTGATTTTGCTACTGTGATAAATTGTAATGCAAATACATGATATGCCAATGGTCTTAGGCAGCCCCAGGGAAAGGGTTGTTTGACCCCCAAAGGGAGTCTTGTGGACATAGAAAAACAGCTGCTCTAGGCTATGTTAAGTTGGCAAAGCTGACTAGGAAAGTAGCCTTTATGTTGTCTTCACATATGATGGGTGTGCAGCTTAGTTGGTAGAGTTCTTTCCTAGCATGGCTGAAGATTGTCATTGTATAGCCAGTGTCTCATAAACTAGACATGGTGGCATATGTGAGTAATTCCAGAACTAGGGAGGTGTGGAGGTTGGGGATTTAGAAGTTCAAAGTAGTCTTCAGTCACAGTTTGAGGCTAGCCTGTAATACATGAGGCCTTGTACTTGGAACAAAACACCATAGTTTCCAGGTGGCTGGGTTTGGTGATGTATACCTGTAATTTCAAAACAGGAGGAATCATGGAGCTAGCCTATGCTAGGTATAAAGTTCCTGGCTAGCCTATTCTACATAGACAGGCTCTGTTTCAACAAAACATATCAAAATGTAAACAAAACAAAACTGTTGGCAAATGAAAGATGAGTTCAGAAGATGAATGGGTAATAGAGTGCCCCAGAGTGCACCCATAGAGCACATGGTGCAACTTGTTTCATGTTGGGACAGTGAGCAGTTACTCCCCTTCATTGTGGGCATAACCTACTGCATCTCCATACCACCAGCTCAAGTCTACCTCCAGAAACGGGGTTCTCACTAAGGGTTTTCCAGATGGATGTCTGGTGTGAAGAACTAGGAACCTCAGATACTGACCACAAGCTGTCTGCCACCCCATGCTGAAGGCTCTGGTTCCCAAACACATCATGTACTGGAATGCATAGACATTGCACTCTTCCATCACTTCCAATGTCTTGACTATGTCAACTGTGACCAAACATAGCCCTTAAGAAGCAGCTGTGGCCATCATATAGAAGGCTGTAATGGACAGTGTTCATTGCTTCTCTGGGAGTTGGTTTCTGTAAATCCTGTGGAGTGTTTTGGTTCTTGCACTCTGTCATTCAAACTCTCTTAGCAATGACATTGTTTAATCAATAGTTCATTCTTTCACTGGGAAGACGGAGCAGTGAGTAAGTAATGTGTGTACAAGCTCAATTACCTGAATTCAGATTCCCCAGAACACACACAAAAGCTGCACACAGTAGTCCACACCTGTAATCCCAGTATGCCTACAGGGAGATGGAGATGAAGACAGAAGAATGACTGGCAGCTCTGGGTCAGTTATCTTGGTGTACATATCAATGAAACACCACAGACCCCGCCTCAAACAAGGTCAAAGGCCAGAACTAATGCCCAAAGTTGTCTTTGACCTCTATATTGGCATGCCAATGCCTACATTTGTGTGCACACACACACACACACACACACACACACACACACACACACATCTTATTCTTTGTTGTTACATTGAATATGTACTTCTAAATTCAGTGGCACAAAGAAAAGGAATTAAAAAAACAAAGCCAAAAAACCTCTGCCCCTGAAGATTTGGCATTCTGGGCGAGAGAAACAGACAAATGCCCGATCTGTAGTAGTTGCTCCGTTTCTTTGACTTTGATTTTACCCTAGCTTTGACTTTCCATGAGTGTTAGCTGGACTGTCTGTGTTCTCTACCTAAAGGCACACAGGTTGGGCTGATCTGTAGACATGTGTGTGCTTTTATAAAAACAAGAAGAAACTTATATGCCAGACCATAAGCTGAAAAATCAAAGCCATGCTTAGGAATAAAAATGAAAGGAATAACTTTGTTTCTTATGTTTTTGTATGGCACATCCTCCCATATGGGGAAGGCTTGGTCCTCAGCCAATAGATCTTATCTTTGAGAGGTGACTGCACCCTGAGGGCTCTGCCCTGCATAATTAACAGATGGATTTATACTTAAATGGATGACTTAGAGGTAGTGAACTGTAGGAGGTGGACTCTGATTGGAGGAAGTCTGTTATTGGGGTGGGCCTTGAAGGAGTGGAGCAGCACAATGCTCCTCTTCTTCCTAGACCAATCCTCCAGGGCCTTGAACTTCCCCTGAGGGGTGAATGTAGAGTATGGGGTGGGTGAGTCACTACCGAGATCTCCTGTGGGAAGGTACATAGGATGGCTCAGGAAAAGGGGTCCCCAAGACCTCAAGAGGTTCATATACAGCACATAGTGTTAGAGTGAAGCCACCTTTAAGAATTGGGCCTGTCAAGCTCTAAGGATGGCACGAGACAGCCACATGTCACATGGGTCCATCAAACCCAGGAGAAACTAAAAGTGAGCATACCAGGGGCTGCTGGAAAAAGCTCAGACAAGTGCAAGGGAGGGAACTAAACAAGAGCTATCCCCAGAAGTGGGCGAGAGCAGAGAGCCACCCTGCTGCTGCTCCAGCTCCCACCACTGCTGCCTCTGGACAGGATGTTTTGTTCCTGTGTGTGGTGGTTCAGTGAAATCAGAGGCGCTCCAGCATACGTGAGCACTCCTTTGAAGTCTCCCTTTTCTGTGGGAAGTTCCTTTCCAAGATGAAACTTGGTCACTGTGCTCTGTTGAAATCCAGCCTCCAGGAGACTCACAGGGGAGTTCTGAGGAGAAAGAAACGTTCCAGGGAGATGTTTTGAAATCCTCCAAGCTACATGTAATCAGTGCGAACTTTACATGTATTCAGAGTGCATATTAAGAGCACTTTAAGCAGTAATGGTCCCAAAGGCACTGGTTCATTATGAGAGCAAACAGTGGTTTAAAGCTGTGTTTTCTCAGAGAAAAGAATCAAAATGGGCAAAGATGCCAGAGTTGCGCCCCCCCCACTTCATTTGTGAGAAAATGCGCTTTTGATTGATGTCTACCAAAGACCGTATTTAGCATAGCATAGTTCCAATGGTTAATGAATGTTCAGAATAGTAATTTGAAACATTTGGGGTGATATCCCCAGGCAATTTTTCCAATACCTCTTTTATTCTTTGCAATATCTGGAACATGAAGACTGAGAATGGAGATAATTGCACTGGTTTGCTTTTTCTTTCTCCCGTGAGTCTGAACATTCCTATTCTATATCAGCAAGAACAACTATTCTCATGAGTTCTTCACTTCCATTTTTAGTCATAGGGATAGAACTCTCTCTCTCTCTCTCTCTCTCTCTCTCTCTGTGTGTGTGTGTGTGTGTGTATACACATGCTCATCTATATGCAAGTATGTGCACTTAGAGGCCAGAGGTATTGATATGGAGGACTTCTTCCCCTGTTTTAGGGTCTCTCACTGAACCCAGGTCTCAGCAATCAGACCCGACTAGCTGGGCTGCAAGCACAAGGGTTCCACCTCGCTCTTCTCCCCAGCATCAAAATTGTAGGTAGGTGGTGCTACACCTATTCAAAAGGATGATGGGACTCTGGCCTAGGTCCCCATGCTTGCAGGGCAGGCCCTTTCATCTGTGTGACAGAGGACATAGTAGTGATGACCTCAGTGAACCTGTCTCTGAATCTTTTTCTCTGGGATTCTCCAAGAGGCCCGAGACACATCTGGAACAACTCTGTGCCTAATTCCGATCTATGTACCAAGATGAAAAGGCTATATTTTCATTTTCACAAGCTTTTCTTTATGTTTATATTTGATTCCTTTTCGTCACACAGTGTGCACCGTGGTGTTTAGTAACAAGACGCCATAAGGATAAGAAACTGCTGAGAGCTATCAGACCATGACAACTTAATAGTGTCTCAGCACTGTGTCCAGTATGTCTATGAAGTATAATTTCATGTGCTACTCAGGAAAATAAAAGCAAGAAACAACACTATTATACAGCAGACCACTAATTTCAGGCTCTGCTGGCAAACAAGTAATGCTGTGCCATGAAATAAGCTCAGAGGAGCCCTCTGTTTTGCCCCGTTGTGGCTGAGAAATATTGGTCATGTAATAACTCATTGTATTTGTGTTAAATTAGATAAAGATATCTAATAAGACAAATGAGTGATGAGAATCAGAATGCACCATGGCTTAGCAATGAAATATGTTACCTCTCTAAGATGCCAAACCAGTGTTTGAGGCACTATGCAATGCTTATACTAAACAGAATGGCACTTAAATCGTATTAAGGACCCTTGAATGTGCATAGATTCCTTTTCTACCCTGGGTTCTTTGATACTATCTGAAGATCACTGAGCATCAGTTACGAGCTGACACTCTTATGGAGTTGTGGGGTGTTTTAGTTATCTCTTTCAGCTTTGACAAAATGCTTGACAGAAATAACTTAAGGAAGGAAGGGTTTGTTGTGGCCCACAGTTCAAGGGGATCATTCCATCACGGTGAAGGGGACGTGGCGATGGGCATAGATAGGATACTGGTTATAAGAGCAGGAGCCATCATGGCTATTGAATACAGTGTGTGTGTGTATGTGTGTGTATGTGGGTGTGTGTGTGTGTGTCTGTATGTGTGTGTGTATGTGTGTATGTGTGTATGTGTGTGTATGTGTGTGTGTGTGTGTGTCTGTATGTGTGTGTGTGTATGTGTGTGTGTGTGTATGTGTGTGTGTATGTGTGTGTAAGTGTGTGTGTGTGTGTGTGTGTGCAAGTGCATGAGAGAGAGAGAGAGAGAGAGAGAGAGAGAGAGAGAGAGAGAGAGAGAGAGAGAGAGAGTTTATTTTGTGGTCCCATGTGTCTGCAGTCCTGGGCCTTGTAGCCATTGTTGAGCAGCAGGCACTGGACCTGGCTAAAGGCTTCAGCTGAGGCACAGGTGCTACAAGATAAATTTTTATGAATCAGATGAAGTGGGGAAAAGAATGATGGGGCTGGTGGAACACCAGCTTTGCCTCCATCCTCCATATCTGAAGCAGAAGCCGGGACACGGTACCCATGAACTAACTGACCTGCCTTCCATGTCCCAGGCTGTCAGTGAGGGTGGTTTATAATCTAGAATATTCAGAGTTTTGTTCGCCTGCCCAATACACTCTTCTTTCACTCTTTGCCGTATAGTGAGGCTGGTCAAACCCACCTCTCCCCCAATAATCATATCAATATCCTTGTTTAATAGTTGACTTGGCTCTGCTACATACCTTTCCTTATAAGTCAAACTTTATCTCTCCCACCCCTACATCTATGGTTGGGATACCCAAGAGTCTTTGCAGATTAGTGGGAAATTAACCATCACAGTGACAACAGAAGGCAGTAGACAACTATCTGGTCTTAATTGGTCATCAGTTGCTGGCACAGTTTGCTTAGAGTTGCTTAATTGAGTTATAATGTTAATGTATGTGGAATTTCAAGGTGGAATGATGCTTCAGTGGGTTATGCTAAGAGAATCTGGAATCATTAACCCATGTCCATCATTTTTGTCACCTGTTGGTTGCAAGAAGACCCTGTAATCTCCAGTTGTTAATCATGCATGTTCTTTTGTAATGCAATGGGAACGCACTACTACTAATAGTTAATTTGACCTTTTAAAAGGGTTTCTAACAAAATAACCAGACATACACTTTTTTTATTGAATGAGTGGATTTGTTCTCTGTGCTTGAATGGTAAAGAGTTTGGGAAAGTCCATGGTCATTAGTGGGGCTGGATTTAGAGACACAGTTAATCAGAGGGGTGTGAGGGTGAGGAATTACAAGCTAATTTAAGTTCCCTCTGCTTTGTGAACCAGACCATTCTTTGTTTCTGTTAATTGCAGAGAAAATGGACATTTCAGGATAATGAATGGCACCACGGGGTCTTGTATCCTGTGTCACAGACAATGCTCACAGATCTAACTTCTAGGATCCAGAGTGCTGGAAGTGGTCTTCGCCCTCAGTGATGGGGACACAGATAGACCAGGGTCATGTGGAATGTCCTTAGGAAGTCAGCTGGCCAGTTTTCTCTGTAGCAAAGTAGATTTTCTTGAAGTCATAGATGTGGGTATTTGGGTATGTGTTTGGGGTTACATGTTTGTGTCTGTGCATTCATAGGAAGCGGTACCGAAGTCAGTTTGGGTTGTCTCCCTCAATTCCTTCTCTACTGTTTTCTTTCTAAGTTTATCTTAATTTTTTAAATTTGATTTTAAATTGTGTGTGTGTGTGTGTGTGTGTGTGTGTGTGTGTGTGTGTGTGTGTATACATGCACTGTCCATGGAGGTCAGAAGAGTGTGTTAGATCCCCTGGAGCTTAAGTTACAAGCAGTTTTGGGATACCTGACTTGGATGTTGGGAACTGAACGCTGACCCACTGCAAGAGAAGTATTCACTTATCCATCGGTCCATCTCTCCAGCCCCCACCTTGTATTTTGAGAGGGGTTCTCCCACTGAACCTGGAGCTCCCCAGTTTAGCTAGACTGGCTGGTCGGTCAGCCCCTGAGAGCCTCCTAATTTTACTCCCCAGAACTGGTAGTGCAGATGTGCCCTGCTGTGCCTGGCTATTTGTCTGGGGATTTGACCTCAGATCCTCATGTGTTTACCCTTTAGCAAAACTGAGCCTTCTCTGCAGCAGGGAGGTATGGCTCACTGAGAACAGTTTTGACTCTATCTAACTGAGCAGTCACTTCAACCATTGAAGTCCTTTTCTGGTTTGTGAGTATGAAGATGAAAATTCTCATATATATGAAGAAATATAGATAAAGCAAGTGGAATTCCTATGCAGGGGAGTTACCAGCATGACACTTGAATATCTTGGATTTGTCTTTCACAGAAAGCCTTGGGCATCATTGCTTTGGATAACCTGTTATAAAACCTGTGTTCCCAAAGTAACAGGAGAATAATGATATCCCTATTGGGAATTTCAGGTCAACAGGTACCACAGAATGGTATCATTTAGTCCTGCCAGAGTTGGGGTGAGTAAGTCAGGACAGAGAAAAAGCTATGGTCAGAGCGTGGTGCCACTAGAGACTGTCCCCAAGACACTCTCATGCTTCAAGACTGTCTGCCACCTTTTCCCTTTCCCACGGAAGTTCCCTTCTGTCTCCACAGAGCTCCAAAAGGAAGCTCTTCAGAAATATAACCCAACTACAAAGCAAGATTCACACGGTACCTTCAAGGCCCTATGTTTGCCTTTTTTATGTTTGCTTTGCATTTGGCTTACTTGATCCCACATATATTTGGGGCATGTAGGGAAATGCATATTTCTGCGGTGGGTCTGTTCTATCTGTATTTGAGTTTGCAGGAGGGGATGCCATTTAGAAAAGTTTGACTTAGTGAAGGGAAGGAGGGCAACTGTGTTTGAAGTGCTTGACTTCTCTAATGATGCTTAGGAGATGGGTGTTTGCTGCCTTGTGTCTGTGTAGGCTAGGAACCTGGCCCATCTTGAGAAAATAAGTGGTTCAGAGGGACCGGCGAACGCATTACCTTTGTTTTGGTGCTTGTTAGCAGGAGAGAATGGTTAAGACACCAGCAGTGCTCCTTGCTGTTTAACATGGATGTCTCTGCTATGCCAAGGACTTAAAATGTCCTGTGGCACTTTAATTCCTGAAGGAAACCAGAAATAGAATGGAGTGAGTGAAGTAAACATAGCAGCAGTCTCCAGTCCTACACCCCCTTCCAAAATAAATCAGAAATCTCTTTTCTGGTGCCCTCCCACACATAATGCCTCCCAACATCCTAATGTTAGCCCATGGATGTCCATAATGATAGAACGCCCTTTGCTGTGGGGTTTGGAGCTAATGCTCAAAGGGACAATTCTTTTGCAAGGACTGGGAAGTGGACCATGGTCACTTACATTTGGTCAGATTAAAGGAACTAAGGACTTTAAGCTTCTTTGCTTTTTGCTTTTAGGAACCACGGAAACGGGTGGGGTATGGCAGCAGGTAAAGTGCTTGCCCATGTGAGCAGCAGGTGCAAGGACCAGAGTTCAGCTCCCCGGGTGGTTCACATACATGCAGTTGGATGTGGTGGCCCCCATGTAACTCTAGCTCTTGGGAGGCAGAGATGGGCATCCCTGGAGCAAGCAAGCTATGCAGACATGTTTAATTGGTGAGTTCTGGGTTCAATTAAGAGAATTCTGCTTCAGCAGATAAAGTGGAGAGCAATGGAGGGAGACTCCAACTCAGACTCATGCCACTGTACATGTGTGCACACATATGTAAACGTATCTGTGCACACACTCACATGTGAACATGCATACACACACACACACACACACACACACACACACACACACACACACACGGGGCGGGGGGGGATGAAATGAGAGAAATGAATTGTCACATTGGAATCTGGTGACAGTGTCAAATAAGCATTTGTTGTACCCTCAAAGCAAGTAAAGTTTTGGGAAAATATCTCAGAAGTATTTATCTAATCTCCTTGATAAAGGTGTGCCATTCAAACAATTCATAGGGAGAATGAGTATCAGGCTATAATTTTAAATAAATAAATAAATAAAAAGTTAAAATTTTCTGTTTGTGTATATATACCCAGAGAAGCCAGGCAAGGGCATGCAGGAACTGGAATTATAGGAAGGAGCTGGGAACTAAACACAGGTCCTCTGCAAGAGCAGCAAGTGCTTTTAACCACTGAGCCATCTCGCCAGCTATTATTTTTAGAAATAAAACCAAATGAAACTGGCTTAAGACAATAAAGGGAATACACAGGCTCAAGTATGTGACATCAGAAGGCCAAAGGTGAGTCAGACTTCAGGTGACATTTGGCCCAGAGTCATTAGGACTGTGACTATATCGTTCAGGGTTCTCTTGTCCCTGCCCCCACTGCTCCATATCTGGGTATCATTTTGACTCTGGCTGTCTCCATAGTAACCAAGGGCTGCTGCAGTTGCGAGCATTCTCCTGTCCACATGTGACCCTGTTCAGACAAGGGGACTACATCCTTGAAAGAGCATGTGACTCATTCCATTTGACTGGCTTATGTGGGTCACCCACTCACCTGTGGATGGAGTCCGTATTTCCAGAATTGATCTGACTGTCACACGTAAGTGGAAAATGTCAGAGAGAGCTGAATAGCTACTTGGGATACAGCCAACAGGTAGTCATGGTGTCACACCAGAATTAAGATCCGTTTTAAGTTTCCCAGGTTAGAGCAGTGAGATCTCTGAGGGTCCATGCTTCCCACAGTTCTTGGTGGCCGTTAACAAGTCATTATGAGTCTTCATCTCTTCAGCTTACACAGAAAGGCGAGGCCACCTACTTCTCTCAGAGTGCAGTGAGGTATTTTACAGGAAGCATGCTCACCACTCGCCCCCTAAGCCTCAGTGCACTGATTCTCATGTTTTCTCTGCTTAGGCATCACTGAAAGAAAGAACAGCCAGTCCAGCAATCCTGCAGGCCACTCCAAAGTCCGTTTTGTTTGTTTGTTTGTTTGTTTGTTTGTTTTTCTGTCATGTGGATTTGCTTGGCCTCCAGTCCTTGCAGGTCCCTTGTTTCCTGTGATCCCTGTAGACATGAAGAAGCAGGTTTAACTGGTTTTCTCAAGGCCTTACTCAGTTACAGGAAGCAAGCAGCCATAGCAAACCACAACTCTCTGGCCAGATTATGGGCTGGTTTGTGAAAGGTTGTCGTGGAACACAACCCCCTGCTTTTCCTGACCATCTCCCATATAAGGCTCTGCACTCAGAATCAGGCTGGTAGTCTTCTCCTTGTCCGTTTGACAGCAGTGACCCTCTACTGAGATAATGGGTATCCATGAGTGAATACAGTAGCCCCCCAAGCTGTCCTCCATAAGCACCCCTCTTCTTGACACTGTCCTCATGATGGTGTAATATCCACATAAAATATTAACATATACTGAACACTTTTAATCAACCATGCTCCCTACTGAGTGTTACTAACACAAGATTCTTCAACATTCTTAACACTATCAATATGCTAATAAAAATTTACAAAGTAAATAGATCCAGATATGTGAAGAGCAACATCAATATTTTAGGGGTTCTCAGGGTGTTCCATCCAGTAACCAATCCTTTCTTTGATAATAACTGTGTGGTTTCAGTAAGAATAGCCCCATAGGCTCACATATTTGAATGCTTAGTCTCCAGGGCGTAGCACTAGTTGAAAGAATTAGAAAGATTAGGGGGTGTGTCCTTGCTGGAGTAGGTGTGGCCTGGGGGTTAGTTTTGAGGTTTCAAAAACCCATGCAAGGACTAGACTCTCTCTTTCTTTCTGTCTGCTGATCAGGAGGTAGCTCTCAGCTACCGCTCCACTGTCTGCCGCTGCCACCATGCTCTGCTCCATACTGATAATGAAGCAACTCTCTGACACTGTAAGCCAGCCCCAAGTAAATCTTTTCTTTCATAGCAGTTGCCGTGATCATGGTGTCTCTTCCCAGCAATAGAACAGTGACTAAGGCGATGGTCACCACACTGTCTTTTAACAGCATTTATTAATTTAGCCTATTCCCGTATGTTATTTGCATGGAGTCACATGGTCTGTACTGTTGGTGGGTGAATCATCCGTTTCTCTGTGTGAAGCTGACAGTGTCCCATGTGTGTTACTTGCAGTGACCCATGGTATGGATGTACCACAGTGCTTGCGGACTCTTTCCTGTTGCTGAAAATCTGGATTATTTTCAGCTTTTAAAAATTATTATACACGGAGTTATTTTGAAGGTCTTCAATACATGCCCTGGTACCCACTTCCACACACTGATGTTAGTCTAAATTCTTAAAGGTGAGGTGGTGTGTGAGAGGGAGAATACCCAGAAGTTGTGGATGTGGATAAGGTTTCCCAGTGGCCACTCGACAGTGCAAATCCTCCCCATCAGCATATGAGAGTTCCTTACTAACCTTGCTCGTCAGTACTTCTGTGCCATAGTTAAGATCTGACCCTTTTTAAAACATGCTCTTATTGTTTGAGAATTTTGTGCATGTGTGTAGTATGTTTTGATCTAATGGACCTCCCAATCCCCTCCTTCCCCTTAAATCCCCCTCCCCTTCACCTCGTCCCCTTCTGACTTCATTTGCTCTTATTTTAAACCCACAGGGCCCACTTACGTGCATGGGTGTGGGACCATCTACTGGGGCATGGGTATCCTCCCTGAAGGACACTGACTCCCAATCCCCTGGCAGCCGTCAGCTGCCAATGGTTCCCCAGCAGTGGACCCCTCCTCCACCCATTCTGGGATTTTGCTGGCCTGATCTAGGGCAGGTTATAGTGGGAAATTACCAATACGGAGTCAGGTAGAAATATAAGGGTATTTAATAGGGAAAAGCCTTACTTACAGAGCGACCTAGCCAGCCGGCATGGCAGCAGTCTGTATCCAGGCCCAAAAGAGAAACCGAAATTGAAAACGCAGTCACCCTACGTTCCCTGACCACGCCCTCTCAAGCTTGTGAGGGCGTGGTCAGGCACACCTGTAGCCAGCCCCTAAGTAGGCGTGGCTACAGCTTCCCCTACAGCAGGTCTTGTGCATATGGTCATAGCCCCTGTGAGTTCATGTGTGCAGTGGCCTTGTCATGTTCAGCAAATGCTGTTTCCCTGCAGCTGAGATTGTACACTATTGGTTTATCCCCCAAGGCAATCTGACCTTAGCACCTATATATTGTTAGCTGTGGTCCTCTCTGCACACTCTAGGTTAAGGAGACCATCACATACAGATGAGCCTCGTGCCCCGCCCCCAAAGTTCTTATGGAGAAAGCTCAACACTAGCACAGTGCACACCCCATTTATGTCAGTTCCTCTTATGGCCAACAGATGGCACTAACAGTAATTAAGACAGCACCGGGCTCCCGAGCAAGAGAACTAAGGTATAGTTTTAAAGAACCAGGCTTTTACGTCTTAACATTTTAAGAAAAACCAATTCATGCAAATTATACAAAATAGGAGTTTGTAATACTATTTTCATTCATGCATTAATGTTTCCTTATTTTTGTATGAACCAGAAAACTTGATCCCAACTACCAAAATGTGCATCCCTGTTTTCTTCTTCCCCTCTGTTCCCATTACATCTCTTCTGGTCTCGCAATACTTACCTTGTATGCTGTTCTATGCTCTGAATTGCTCTGTTCCTCAGGACAGGAAGTGGATCATATTCATTCTTAGTCCCAGAGTCCCACACAGTGCCTGGCACAAAGCGGCTCTGTGTTTAGGGGCTGCAATCCTCTGAGCAGAAGCCAAAAGGCACAAGGTAACTCTCGTGTTCATGTGTCACATAAGCCCAGCTGTGGCTGTCTTGCCCCATTTGTTCTGCGTGTTCTGATCCCACCCTATGAGCCACAGGGCAGACCTCATGGTGATGCAGGCCCCAGGCCCCGGTCATTTGTGTGCTCCCCCTTGGTGAAAGATTGGGGACATCTGGCTGCACATCTGTTTCGCTGTGACAGTTTGTGGGCACACCATGCTGCCCACTTGCCTGACTCAGGTGTCACAGCAGATCATTAATGAGGGGGAAAGGGTGGCACTGGGCTAAGGTCAAGCAGTAGAGCTCCATAGCACAAACCTGCCTCTTCCATGTAAGACAGGTCCCTGGCTGTGAAGGCTAAGCTTAGTTGGTCAGCTTGAGAGGGTCTGGAATAACCCAGGGGACAAACCTCGAGGTGTGTCTGTGAGGCTCCAAGAGAGTCACCCAGGAGACAAACCTCAGGGCATGTCTGTGAAGTAGTTTCTAGATTGCATGAGATGGGAAGACCCAACCTTGACTATGGGAGGGTCCATCCCGTGCACTGGAGTCTCCAGCTGAATAAGGAGAGCATAAGCTGGGCTTGGTGCTTTTCTCTTCTCTCTTCTTCTCTCTTCTCCTCTCTCCTCTCTCTCTCTCTCTCTCTCTCTCTCTCTCTCTCTCTCTCTCTCTGCTTCCTGACTGGTGACACAGTGTGCCAGGTGCCTCACGTTCCCACTGCCATGGTGAGTTGTAACTTTTCTTAATCTGTCCTGAAATGGGAGCTCAAGTAAACCCTTAGTCCCTTATATTGCTCTTGTTAGCTCTTTAGTCATAACCATGAGAAAAAGAACCACACACTGGTGACTGGACCATTGGTGGACCAGGATTCGTTCTTATTCACAGGGTTTACCTTGGGACAGGTAACATTGAAAACATTAAGCACAATGACAGTTTAAAGTCACTCTCTCATATCTAGCCACCTTCTATGTTCCTTACAGTGATAGCCTTTAAAGGTGGCCGTGGCTATCACTCTCCTTGTAGATTTCACTGTGCTGGCTGAGGAGTTAGACTATGGTGGCAAGCGCCTTTACCTGCTGAGCCATCTCCCTGGCCTCTGACATTTTATTTAAAAAAAAAAAAAAAAAACCTCAGACACAGCTATTTATGGTGGCATCTAGAGGATAGGGATCTTTTCTATGTTACTATGAACTTTTCTCTATAAATATGAAATTCATGTATTATTATGTTTCATGTTATGGTTGATTTTATTTCCATGGTGAGAATGGCCAAATTTGTATTATCTTAAATCTGAACACTCACCAGTTTTTCTGTATGATTTGTGTTCTTTCCATAGCAGAATCATATTTTCTACACACATGATATGTGTGATTGCAACTAAAAGTTTGTAAGACTGTTTTACTTACAGCCTCTCATTTGAGTCTACTAGAAGTCCTCTCAAGATGGATGGCCTTTAAAAACATTCATTCCTATGATAATGCATAAGAAAATGAGGTTTGTGAGAGGGCTCAGCAAGAACTTACTGTGCGAGTCTGATGACCAGAGTGTGATCTCTGATGCCCCAAGTGTGATCCCCAGAACCCACAGTCAAACCTGATCCTCCACGTTGTCCTATGATGTCATACACACTCTGCCCCATGCAAGTGTCCTATGACCTAATATACACTCTGCAGCATGCAGGTGTCCTATGACCTCATACACACTCTGCAGCATGCAGGTTACCTCTGACCTGATATACACTCTGCAGCATGCAGGTGTCCTATGACCTGATACATACTCTGCAGCATGCAGGTGTCCTATGACCTGATACACACTCTGCAGCATGCAGGTGTCCTATGACGTCACACACTCTGCAGCATGCAGGTGTCCTATGACCTGATACACACTCTGTAGCATGCAGGTGTCCTGTGACCTCACACACACTCTGCAGCATGCAGGTGTCCTGTGACCTCACACACACTCTGCAGCATGCAGGTGTCCTGTGACCTCATACACATCTGCAGCATGCAGGTGTCCTGTGACCTCACACACACTCTACAGCATGCAGGTGTCCTATGACCTCACACACACTCTGCAGCATGCAGGTGTTCTATGACCTCATACACACTCTGCAGCATGCAGATGTCCTATGACCTCACACATACTCTGCAGCATGCAGGTGTCCTATGACCTCATACACACTCTGCAGCATGCAGGTGTCTTATGACCTCACACACACTCTGCAGCATGCAGGTGTCCTATGACCTCATACACACTCTGCAGCATGCAGATGTCCTATGACCTCACACATACTCTGCAGCATGCAGGTGTCCTATGACCTCATACACACTCTGCAGCATGCAGGTGTCTTATGACCTCACACACACTCTGCAGCATGCAGGTGTCCTATGACCTCACACACACTCTGCAGCATGCAGGTGTCCTATGACCTCATACACACTCTGCAGCATGCAGGTGTCCTATGACCTCATACACACTCTGCAGCATGCAGGTGTCCTATGACCTCACACACACTCTGCAGCATGCAGGTGTGTGTGCATGCACTCGCACACCACTACCCCTGCAAAAGGGCAACGGATGATGTGCCTTCCTCAGTGCAAGGCAAACATGATAGGACCAGGGTCCCTCGTCCTAGTTGTGGAATTGCAAGCTCATTGCCAGGGTTCTTCAGTTTGTGGGCCAACAGCACACCCGGGAGAGTTATAAGCTGAAGTTTCACCCTAATAGCTTTTCCCCCAACTACAGAAATTAGGCATCAAGTCCCCCCAAAATGGAGAATTCTCAGCCAAGAATGTCATTTTTAAGACAAGGGTAGTCAGCCAGACCTAATAATACAGGCCTGTAATCAGCGGGGAGGCTGAAGTGGGAGGATCAAAAGTTTAAGGCTTACCTGGGCTCCTGAGTGAGTTCAAGACCAGCTTGAAAAATTTAGTGATAGCCTACCTTAAAATAAGAAGTAAAGAGAGGGCTGGAAGGTCAGCCTCTAATAAAGCACCTGCCTAGAATATATAAGTCCTGGGGATTGATCCTCAGAAAGACACTGTGTACATGGGTGTGTGCACACAACACACACACACACACACACACACACACACACACACACCAGAAACCATAGAAATCCCAATGAGTCTTTGAAAGCTTTAAAAGTTCAGGCTTACTAAAAACAATGTATGCATCACCATAGATAAGGACAGCGTCAGCAGCAGTCCTCACATTTGCCAGAGAGCCAGAGTCTCCCTCGCACAGTCCACAGCAAGTAGTCTGAAGTCTGATGTTTTTTCTTTGGATATCAACTCAATGCAAGGCTGTTGCTTCCTTGTCTGCTGTGCTGTCCACATGTTCAGCGCCGTCCTGGTTTTATGACTCAGAGTTATCGATTTCTGCTTCCTGGTACCCACATCTGTCAAGCAGCCCCTCTTAGACACCTCTTGTCTTTCTTCTTTCTCTCAGATGCAGCCAGGATTCAGGGGCTAGTTTATCTTTCCTTAGTTTGATCAAGGCTTCCAACACGACCCTCTTCCCTTCCCAGCATCTCCTTTGCCTCTAGTTTAAGTTAAGCCCCAGTGCGTCTTTATTTGTCTTTCCTCTAAAAGTCTGCCCTGGCATATTCTAGAACCCCAAACTTGCTGTTACAGGATAAGATTGGGGGTACCACAACTTTGCCCAAGATTTTATGTCACTTTCAGTAAAACAAGCACTATCAACATGTATGCTGATCTGGGAGTTTGGTTCCATTGGCAAAGTACATGATGGGCAAGGAAAACCAGAGTTCAAAAGCACACAAAGCCAGATGTGGTGCCACATGTTTGTAATCCTATGCTGGAGAAGTAGCTTGATTCCAGAGGCTTGCTGGCCAGCCAGCCTACCTCGACCAGAGAGACCCCAGCTACAAAACCCAAATGGAAAGATAGTAAGGAAGATAGGTGAAAGGGACTTATGGCCTTTACATGTATTGCACACATAGACATATACACATACATGCAACACACACACACTACATACACATACACACACTATACATACACACATACACACATACTACATAAATACACATACTACATAATACTACATACACACATACTACATAAATACACACACTACTCACATACTACATATACACACATACTACATATATACACAATACACACATACATACACATTAC